CACCCACAGCACAGAAACAGCCCTGGTCAAAGAGACAAATGACATTTTGTCTATCTGTGACCAGGGCTCCCTCTGCCTCCTCGTCCTCCATGACCTCTCTGCTGCCTTCGATACCGTTAACCACTCTATTCTCCTTCATCACTTCTCCTGTCACCTCAACCTTCATGGTTCTGTCCTTGACTGGTCCAGATCGTACCTCTCACACCGTCTCTGCTTCATCTCCACAAACGGCTTCTCCTCTAGCCCCTACGCTGTCTCATGTGGCGTTCCTCAGGGCTCTGTCCTTGGTCCCCTCCTCTTCAATATCTATATGCTCCCTCTTAGTGACATTCATCTGCAGATATGGGGTCAACTTCCATGTATGTGGATAATAATAATAATCCTTGCATTTGACATAGCGCTTTTCACGTCTTCTAGATGTCTCAAAGCGCGTCACAGAATAGACTGTAAAGTGAATTGACTGTACATTTGTGGGTAAAACGTGACAGCCAATTGCGCACAGCAGTGTCCCACAAACAATCGTGGATTGAAGTGACCAAATTATTATTGTGTTTTTTTCTTGAGGGATTATTATCAGGCGTATAATAATTATAATAATAATTATACCTATTGTCCTGGAGTGCTGAAATTCTGCACAGGAGAATGGTACATGCTAAAGCACGAGTGTTTTTATAATCAACCATTTCATTGATTATGGAAGTGATTAATGGAATAGTCATATGTATTGAAACACCTTACCAGGCATCATTTCTTATTTAACAACAAAATTACATTTGCATAGTGCCTTTCACTTCGGGAGGACGTCCCAAGGGGCTGGACAGTCAGTGTTTCGGACCAGAGCTGAGGGTCGATATTGGGGAGGGTGGAGGATAGGGTCTTGAAGGAGGCAGCGTCTTGAAGGAGGCATGGTCTTGAAGGAGGGGGCGAAGTGGAGGGCCTGGGGGATGGAGTTCCAGAGGGTGGGGACAGAGTGGCAGAAGGCCCGCCCGCCAATGGGGGTGAAAACAGCATTAAATTTGGATTACATCTTTCAGACATTGATAAAAACCACACAATACATACTTTCTTGACATCAGTGAGTAGTTAAATGTTACAAATATAGTAAAGATCAATATTTTATTTATAAACCTTTGTAGGTGTCAGCCTAATTCAGTCAGTAGCACTCTCACATCTGAGTCAGGTCAGGGGCTCAAGCACCATTTCAGGGCTTTGAGCTCACTGTCGACATTGAGCTTAGTACAGTCCTGAGAGAGCGCTGCACGGTCGATGGAGCTGTTTCTCAGATGAGACATTGAACTGAGGTCTCTGTTCAGCTGGATATTAAAGATCCAATGGATTATTCTAAAAAAGAAAGGAATGTCTCCAGGTGCCCTGCCCTAAATAAAACTGATTTGTGAGACACTGCTCTGTGCAAATTGGCTGCCCCTACAGTAAATTCTGTGAAACTCTTTGAAATGCAATTATTATAACAATTTATATTTATATATCACCTTTCATGTCAGGAGAATATCTCAAACCACTTCATATAATTGACTGGAATCTCAAACTGGGGGAAGGGATAGCTGAGGAGAGTTGGGGAAGAGGATACCAATAATAATAACAATCATAATAATCCTTGCATTTGATATAGAGCCTTATCACATCTTCAAGATGTCTCAAAGCGCTTCACAGAATGTACTGTAAAGTGAATTGACTGAATATTTTTGTGGGCGAAATACAGTAGCCAATTGCACACAGCAGGGTCCCACAAACAATTGTGGATTGAGTGACCAAATTATTATTTTTTGATGGAATTAATAATCCGGAAAAGCGATCACTAATCGACTAACAACTGAGTTCCTACTTGCTGCTAGGTAAACGGAGGTGTGTGGAGTAAAGAAACTTGCCCTTTGTTTTGATAAAAAATGTGATCAGAAGCAGAGTCGAAAAGATTGGATTTTGGGTAGGCATTAAAGGTGAGTAGGAAGGAGACAGGATGGAGTTCTAGGGAGCTGGAGCAAAATGCTGAAAGCTCATTCACAGATGCTGAGATGGATCAATAGCAGCAGATACTGGTTAGTGAATGCTGCTCTTCTAAACACAGATTAGAAGGAACATTTTTTTAAATTTAGTTTACAATAAGCATATTTTTCAAACGTAAGACATCACTGAACTATAATAGTCTTTAATATGAAGGGCATTATGAGTATACATTTCAAAATCCACCAGAGGGCGCATTTTACTTTAATTGCAAAGGGATATATCGGTAATAGTATCCCCTAACAATACAATATAAAATTTCTGCTCTTGTTCCATCAGGATTTTTTTTAGTAAAACACAGATAGCACCGAAGTGTAAGTTTGTTTGTTTTTCTTATTTGTTATTTGTTCAGTGAAAGTAAAAGTAAAACTGTTCTTTCCCTGTCTGATCCCCTCAACAGACAATAACAGGTTGCACTTATATAACACCCATCATGCAAGATAGTGTCATTCACTGCAAGATGCGCAACCTCAGTATTATCTTGCTATTATGATACATAAGGGGGGGGTGCAAGAGTTACAGGAGGTAAGCAGAGTCTACTTGTAGCTGAACTGGCTCGCAGGTGACATGGTTGGCAACAGAATGTCAGAATCAAGCCAACCCTCTGTGGCAGTCTCAGTAGTCCAGTTCCAAAGCCCGGCAAATCTGCAGTACTCCAGGGTACTGCTTATGATCGCAAGCCAGGCTGTGGGCATTCTGGCCTTTAACTGGCAGTCGGGATCAGGGGGCGGAATGAGGGGCTGTGATTGTTGGACTGGGCTGTCAGTCAGTTAGCAGGGGGGCTGTGGGCGGTTGGGATAGGCAATGTGATGCGAAAATGTTCGGGTGAGTCAGACGACTTTGGCCAACCTTAAAGTTATTGGAGATGGGGGGGGGGGGGGGGGGGGGGGCGTTGGTCAGGAACCCCAATGACCTCCCACTGGCTCAGAACTGAATTGATCCTCATGAGTTGGTTGTAGAATAAGCTGAGCATTGGAAGACCATCCTGTACATCACATGCAACTTAAATTCATGTTGCCTTTGTACAGTCCTGCTTGATGCCAATTTACATTCCTTTGTGGTGGTGTACTTTATTTTAAATTCTATCAAACCCTATGAGATTCGTTTTAAAATTTGTAAGAATTATTTAAAATGTACTGATGTCACTGGACTTCACTGCACAAACTCAAGATTATTCAAAACTCTGCAGCTCATGTCCTCTTCCGCACTCAGCTTCATGATCTGATCATCCCAACCCTCATCTGGCTTCACTGGCTCCCCATTCCCCAGAGGATTCAGTTCAAGATCCTCATCCTCGCCTTTAAATCCCAGGTCTTAATATTTTTCCAATAAAACTTATTCCTTTTTTTAAAAAAATCTACTCCGCACCCCGCTTCTTGAATTTCTGTATGCTGTAGACCATAAATGGTAGGGAACCAACTTCTAACCTCCACCAACACCAATTTGACCGGACAAGCTGAGAGGTAGACACTGATAAATTTGAGCTGTCTATGCCCGATTTTCCTTTCTTTTTCCTATCTTTAAGAGCATACCCGGGCTCTAGTTGATACCATTCTATGATTACATAATTGCAATTGTTGTTTCACTGCACAGTGGCCATGCAGAAACCACACCTCACCTATTTGTAGCTCACTGCACTGTCTGTACACTGTATGCTGTGTTCCTGTCCCAGTAACCATAATAATGTTTATATACAAACCTAAACTGCAGATTACATTTTCACCCTGGCCTAAGGAATATGTTACAGTATTTTGAATAATACTGTGAAAAATAACAGATGAAAAAAAAGAGAAATGATGTATTCACTTCTTTTTTCTTAGAAAATCCCCAAATGAAAGAAACTGCTACAGAATATGAACCAATGAGTCAACGCATAATTCTCCATTCCTGTTGTGAGGGATTAATGACCGCTGAAGCTCCATAATGAGTATGTTTTAACTGAAAACATGAAATGTGAAACCATGAAATGTAGTTTGAAATGAGGAAGTATTATCAAGCAAAATTAACAGACTATGAAAAAATACCCAAGTGGCAGCAAGTTGCAGTCAACATCTTTTCAATTACTCTTCTATCACTTTTTTTTCCTTGATTATATAAGTTTTAGCAGTCTCCACTGACTGAATTACTCTTTCATTGGCTTCCAGTAGAAAACTACATAAATATTAGAGCATTAGTCTATGTGATTGTATGGAAATTTAGATGCACAATGGGTTCCCACAAATGTTGCACATTTCCTGTTAACAACATGTGGTTTTGTACCTACTAATATTGAATATTATCTGTGCTTGACATCAAGATGCTACATATTTTTAAGTGTTCTTAATTTCCGACCACAACCATAGTGGGCAATTTCAGTAAAAAATATTTTCTGATTNAAAAAAATTGTAATTCAAATAGACAGGTGCGATTGTGTCATACAAAATGAAGCTAATGTTTAGGAATTAATTTCTTAAGCCAGAACTTCCGATCCTTATGCTTGTATTTATTCCTGGTATCAATGATTGTTGAAACAAAATAGTTTCACGTTTGGCCGTTTTGACTGTAGGATTGATAGGACAAGTATTTAACACAGGTACAAACATTAATTTCACATTAATGTACAGTATCTGACCTTTGGATGAGACGTTAAACCAAGGTCCTGTCTGCCTCTTCAATTGGACTTTAAAGATCCCATGGTACTATTCGAAAAGAGAAGGGAGTTTCTCCCAGTGTCCTGGCCAACAATCCCCCAAATAAAATTGGTCATTCAGTTCATCGCTGTTTGTGGGACATTGCTGTGTACAACTGGCTACTGTGATTCGCCCACAAAATACATAGTCAATCCACTTTACAGAATTTTCTGCTTTGAGACGACTCAACGACATAAGGCACAATATTAAAAGCAAGGATTATTATTAGTACGTATCAAATGCAAAACATTTGCTGCTGAAGAATATCAAACACAAGGAAAACAACCAATGAAACGCATCGTCCAAAAAACCCACAGCGTAAGAATTCACAAACTATAAATGGTAACATTACTTCCTGTCACATGCATCAATCTGCACTCAAGTCTACTGCTAGTTTAGAACACTGGAGAAGTACAAGAAAAAGGGAACTCAATTTTTCTCTGTATGCTCTTTCCTTCTTGAATAAGATTTCTTCGCCTCTTGTTGTCTAAAACAATTAAATCCTAACAGGTAAGGTAAGCTTGTATTTTAAAAACATTTTGATATCTTGCTGTGTTGAGTCGGATGTTTAAGCAAACAAAACTGTAACAAGTAGGCAAATCTTCCCTGAGAAACAAAATTTAAAGAACGATTAGAACCTGTGCTGTAAGAACCTCAAATATCAGAGTTCAATGATTTTCATAGCCTTGTAAGGAAGATGTGATCTTTAACAGAGCTGCTAATGCAACTGTTTCTAATGTGACCTTTGTTTTTATAAATAAATAATTCATAAATTCAACACATCTATAAAAAAAAGTGTTTTACAGCTGTTGAAATACTTTGAAGTGTTATGACGTCAATTTTGTCCAAAATAGACAGTTGTACGTTTGTTTCCATTTAAATATTGATGAGGACATTCATGAATTCAAATTTGATTCAGTTGTACCATGCAAATGCTCTGCTGTAAATTCATGGGTTTGTGTTTCTGCATCTTACCTCTGAATTTCTGAACAGCATTACTATAGATAACAGAGTATTTCAAAATACAGTATAATAACTGCACTTTGTTATGTAATCAAGTTGACAACATCATAAGCAATTACCACAAATGGTTTTTCAAAATAATCTTGAACTGTTTGTTCACAACTGAGAACGATTTTTTTAAAAAAAGCTATGTAAACACACAACCAGGCTGCATTTTCAATTGCCCTCTATCCTCCAACTCAAATGATCACAATTATGATTATTTTGGTCATCTTTTGCTTTCTATTCATTAAAAGTAATATGTACTTAAAAAGTGGGTGCTGGTATACAGAGATACTGAGCCTGAAACTGTCAGGGAGATGAATTGATATTCGCAGTTAATACTGAAGCAAAGCTGACTGCTTCTCAATTGATGTACGATTATCATTTAATATGCCAACTAGCAAGGAATATTAAAGAAATATTCCTACGGAGAGGAATATTAAACAGCATGGGGAGCAAGTGGGATTAGATGAGGTGGTTGATAAAAAAATTCTTACATTTGATATAGCGCCTTTCACGTTGGGAAGACATCTCAAAGCACTTCACAGGATATATAATAACCCTTGCATTTGATATAGCAGCTTATCATATCATTGAGATATCTCAAAGCGCTTCACAGGATATACTGTAAAATGGAGTGACTGTATTCTGTAGATAAACATGATTGAATAATCTTTCTTTTCTTATTCAAAAAGGAAATCTTACTTTCCTTTTCGAATAAGTCATAGAATCTTTAACATCCACCTGAACAGGCAGCCAGGACCTTGGTTTAGTTTCACCAAAAGCACGGCACCCTTGTCATTGCAGCATGCCACCAGCACTGCATTGGAGATTCAGCCTAGTCCTGATGAGGGGCTTGAACTCACAACCTTATGAGTGAGAAGCAAGAGCGTTACCAGACTGACACACATGTAGAAAAACATCAGTGTAGACTTGATAGGTGAAATGTTGCTCAAAAAAAAAGCTAAATTACATAGTTACCCAGAAATTTCCAGGGAAAAATAGTTAAAAATTAATAAAGATTGAAAGAACATTAATTAAAGTTGTTCACATCAATTGTTCTAAATCAAATATTGTATTTCCCAATTAATAGTTCGAGTCCAACATTATGAATTTATAATAAATAATAATCCATGCATTTGATATAACGCCTAACACTTTGTTGAGACATCTCAGAGTGCTTTACAGAATATATTGTAAAGTGGATTGTCTGTGTATTTTGTAGGCGAAACGCGGCACCCAATTGCACACAACATGTCCTTCAAACAGTCGTGAATTGAGTGACCAAATTCAGAAAGCATTTGGGGTTATTACACATCTCTTTCTGGGTCTGACATTCTAGCTTCCTGATCCAGTGTGTCATTTGCGCCATGTTTCCATGGTTAGATACTCCAGTCTAGATATTAGTATCCAATACAGTGGTGGCCAACCTTTTGATCGGCGAACAAAATAAATGTTCTTGATTGAATATTTCTTGATTTATGGCATATATCAAAAAAAAGAAACAAAAACATTGATTAAACAAAATGTAATCACCCAGACAAGTGCGAATGTTCGGAGGGCCAATTCTGGCCCATGGGCCATGGGTTAGCCACCACTGATCTAGCATCTGAGTAAGTCTGCTGATTGTGAAATGGGGGCGGTTTGTTGAAGGTCAATGTGGCCAACAAAATGTTGAGTTTCCATACTCAACCTCAAACAGCAAAGAGGGCAGTTTGAATTATGAAAAGCTATTTCTTTAAATTTAGTTCAGGGGAAAGCATTTTGTAAACAAATGCTCAAGTATAAGATAATTATAAGCTTCTATCCTAAAGCATTCCTTTCATTTTTCTCTGGTGAAAGATTTGGGTAAAAACTTTTTACATATGAAAACTTCATTTTGTAGCTCATCTAAATTAGTTTGAAGAAAATTCAACTTTAGAACCAGCAAGTCATTTGCAATAATTGATTTTCCAGTTGTGCCTATAATGCCTATTTCGCTCAATAACTTGATAATATTCTATTTTGAAATTTGATTAATCTATCTAACTATTCTATATAGAAGTACATGGCACAGGAACAAGCCATTCAGCCCAACTAGTCCAAACTAGTGGTTATACCCTACAGGGGCCTTTGATCTCTCAATCCCCTTTATTGCCTTCTCCCTCCTCTTAAATATATTATTTGTTTGACTTTTCTCTGAAATTTTAATTTCTGTTCTTTTCATATCACTTCAATGTAGGGTTAAGATCTTCAATGAAAGTTTCAAGTCACCACTTCTAAAATGCTAAATCTAAACCTTAACCTCTCTAACCTGCAACCACAAGAGTTCAGAATTGGCGCTACAATATTTTATAGCATCCTTTTCATAATTGGACTGATTGTCAACATCACAGCAATATGGGTTTTCAGCTGCACCACCAAAAAAGGAACATCCGTAAATATATACATGATGAATGTGGCTTTGCTGGACCTGATTTTCATAATACTGCTGCCTTTCCGCATGATCTACTATGTGAACAATTACTGGCCCTTCGGTGATGTTTTCTGCCAAATCAATGCAGCTCTTACTATATTTTATCCAAGCATCGCTCTTTGGCTCTTAGCTTTCATCAGCGTCGACCGTTACATGGCAGTGGTGCAGCCCAAACATGCTAAGGAACTTCGTCACATCGGGAAAGCTGTGGCAAGTTGTTGTGGCATCTGGATAATGACCTCTGTGTCAGTTCTGCCGTTCATGTTTTCAAAGAACAACCCTGACAAAGCCTCAAATTTTACAACCTGCTTGAAAATGCTCGACATAATTCACTTGAAAGAGGCAAACATTGTGAACTTTGTTCGACTGATTTTCTTCTTCCTTCTGCCTCTCTTCATTATGATCGGATGCTACTGCATTATCATTAACAGTCTCTTGAAGGGGAAAACATCTAAACTGAAGCCAAAAACCAAAGAAAAATCTATCAAAATAATTGTGACACTTATTATTCAGGTGCTGTTTTGCTTTGTTCCATTTCACATCTGCTTTACGTTGTTACTGCTACAAGGTGACCGTTACGATTTCAATGCCTGGGCTGCCTTTACTACGCTTTTGATGAATCTCAGCACATGTCTCGACATAATCTTGTACTATATAGTATCAAAGCACTTTCAGGCCAGAGTCATCAGCGTCATCTACTATCGAAACTACCTGCGAAGTGTCCGAAGAAAAAGTTTTAGAAATGGAAGCTTTCGCTCACTGAGCAAATTGAACATCAGTGATATGTGAATAATCAAACCTATCAATCTCTCATATGGAAGAAAAGAAAAAAAACTGAAGAGGATCAATGTGTGAATAACTCCTTATATATAATTTTCTAAACACTGAATATTTGAATATTCTGAATATTTGGCCTATGAAATTCTTCTGCATATCTTAATCGTTTCAACAACAACCTGCATTTATGTAGCGCCTTTGACATAGGTAAGCGCCTTGGAGCCTGATGCTGATCTGAGGGGAGGTGATCATAAGCACGGTCAAAGGTCTTCAGACATGATCTGAAAATGGGGAAGGAGGGGGCAAGGCAGAGAGATTGAGGGTGAAAGTTCCAAAGGTTCGGGATGTAATGGCTGAAAGCACGGCTGCCGATAGTGGAGCAGAGGGGCGAGGGACAAACAGGAGGCTGGAGCCAGCCAAGCAGAGGCAGCAGGTAGTGGAGTGGTCAATAACCAGGTCAGAGAGGTAGGGAAGTTCCAGGGCATGAAGGTTTTGTAGATGATTGTGCAGATCTTTAAGTCAATCCGTTCTTTGATAGGGAGCCAGTGGAGCCTGGCGAGGACTGGTGTGTTGAGGTTACAGAGTTTAGAGTGGGTGAGTATATGGGTGACAGAGTTTGAATTTCACCCTTGTGCTTCTTGAATTTATAACTTTGTGTTCTCTATGTGGAGCTTTCCTCCAGCTAACTGTGTGTGGTGAGGGGGTGGGGGGGAGAGTCTACGGTAGATTTTGCAATATGAAAAAATACGGCTGAAGGGCCAAATGGCTTTTTGTCATCCCATACTTTATGTTCTTAAGGTAACATCTAACTCAAAAGCACTTATGGGAAGAAAAATTATAAGGATCTTCTAGCATTTAGAGTTCAGGACTAGAAATGCACAAATAGGCCAGTTGTATCACACAGTTTATGTGGGCTTGATGCAATTTTCACTTTCAACTTTTACAAACTGTACAGTATAAGTGCAGTTTTAGCAAATCCTATGCTAGCTTAGATAAGCAGTGCAAGACTGCTTCAAGAAAATGCACTGTAACTGAAGTTTAAATTTAGTCAGTGGAAAGCAAGTCCTTTGATTGAACATTCAAGTTTAAAAACCTCTGGCACTGTTTGCAAAAAATGTTATTTGCAGCAAAAAGAACTGACTCTTTATTCCCATTGAAATTCAATCCTGAATATGAATGGCCGTTTATGTGCTTGCATCTGCTTTTCTAGCACTCAGCACAGGGAAAAATTATCTCCAGTCTGCCAGGACACATCACTCGATTAGAGCCGTTACAGTAATAATTCTTGTATGTGATGCTGCATCTTAAAATATTATTGAAATATCTCAAATTGCTTGACAGAGTTTTCTATAAAGTTGAGAAATTGTATTTGTAGGCAAAGGTAGCAGCCAATTTGCATCCCAGGATAATCCACAAATAACCATGTTTTATTTGGAGTATTGTTCGCCAGGAGACCAAAAGACTTTTTGTTTCAAATAGTGCCATGGAATCTGTAATGTCCAATTGAACAGATAGACAGGACCTTAGTCACATGAAGGACAGAACCTCCGACAATGCAGTGCTCCCCAAGACCTACAATGAATGTCAGCGTAGACCAGCGGTGGGCAAAATATGGCCCGTGGGCCATATCCGGCCCGCCAAATGATTCTATTCAGCCCGTCATTGTGTCTAGCAATAGAAAAAATTATAGGTTGTTCAGTCTCAGTAAGGATCAGTTTTAAATGCGTCCCTTATGTTTCTTACTTTTGTCACAGCATTGATTTTTAATTGCTAAAGTCGTTAGTTTTTTTCTCCACAAATTTCACATTTGAATCAGACCGGGAACATCAGCCAATCACACTGCTTAGTTATGCACACACTCCCTTAAGTGTTGAATCAGGCTGACGTCAGAAATGTACGGATCGGCAAATTTTCAAACACGCGTGCGACAATACTTTTCACTAAAGAGGACATTAATTCGAAATGAGTTTATCAAAGAAGCGGAAAGTGGATGCCGAAGGCCGAATATTCAACAAAGATGGATTTCTAAATTTTTTTTTACCAGTGTGGGTGGAAAAGCTGTGTGCTTAATTTGCAAAGAAAGTGTGGCAATGCTCAAAGACTACAACTTGAATTACCATTTTGAGAGCAAACATGCTTGCAAATATAAGAACATTCCTGCTGAAGAAAAAGGAAAGAAAGCTGATGAGATTGTTGTTCGAATGCAAAAAGAGCAAAGCACTTTCACAATACAATTTGCGTCCCAGGATGAGATTACAAGAGTGAGTAACGTGATTGCATACAAAATCACCAAGAACAGCAAGCCATTCTCTGAAGGAGAATTTATAAAGGAATGTATGGTTGACTCTGTCTTGATTTTATGCCCAAACAAGAAAAAACAATTTGAAAACATTAGCTTGAACTATTGTGAGACATGTCAAGGATAAATCTGAGAACCTGTATCTGCAGTTACAAAATAAAGTAAGCAATTTTGCATGTTTTTCACTGGCACTCGATGAGAGTTGTGATGTCAAAGACACAGCCCAGTTGATAATTTTTATTCGAGGTATCACCAAACATTTTGAGCTCACAGAAAAATTGGCATCAATGCAGTCATTCAAAGATACGACAACTGGAGAAGACCTTTGGATGCAGTAATTAAGTATATCTTAAAATTAGGAGTGGAGTGGAAAAAATTGGTGAATGTGACCACCGATGGAAGCCCAAATCTGATAGGCAAAAATGTTGGGTTACTGAAAAGAATTCAAGATCAAGTCAAAGAAACAAATCCAGAACAGAATATTGTTTTTCTACACTGCATTATCCACCAAGAGGTCCTCTGTAAGAGTGTTCTAAAACTAAGCAATGTCGTGGACACAGTTACGAAAGTGGTCAACTGCATTCGAGCAAGAGGATTAAACCACAGGCAATTTGTAACTGCTTGAGGAATTGGAATCCGAACACATGGATGTTCTGTATCACACAAATGTTAGTTTAGGAAAGGACTTGAAAAGAGTGTCGGAACTGAGAACAGAGACTGAATTATTTTTGGACATGAAACAAAAAGATTAGTATTTCCCACTGCTGAATGATGCGAATTGGCTCTCTGATTTTGTACTTGCTGTTGATATCATGGGCCACATGATGAACTGAATTCAAAACTGCAACGGAATGGGGCCTTTGTGCACGATTTGTATTGCAGTATCAAGTTATTTATGACAAATTTATTTCTTTTATCGTGTCAGATAGGAAACAGGCTGTTCGCACACTTTCCAACATTGCAGCAAATTACTGTTTGCGATCAAGGCCTTAAAAAGTATACTTCATCACTACTTGATCTGCATGCTGAATTTTCTCGCCGATTACAGGATTTCAATTTGATCGAAAATGACCTGTCTTTGGTCTCTTCACCTTTCTCATTTGATGTTGACAAATTCCCATTTGACCTCCAACTCGAGCTTATTGATCTGCAATGTGATCCATTGCTTACGGAGCAATTCAAATCAGTGCCGCTTCCCAGTTTTTTACACCTCTCTTAATGAATATACCTTTCCAAAAATAAAGGCTCAAAGGACGCTTGTGCTGTTTGGATCAACACACATATGCGAGGAGACAATTTCTGTGATGAAATTCAATAAATCAAAGCATAGATCTGCAATGACTGATGACCACCTTCCAGCATTACTCCGCACTGCAACAACGGAGACGATGCCTGACTTAAATTGTCTGATTAACTCACATCAGTGCTTTCATTCTTCCCATTGAGTGAGTTTATTACATTCTCATCAATATGTGAATGAATAAATATTGAATAAATGTCTGCTCAATGAGTTGTTTTTATTTAATTTAATGAATGTCAATTATATAGACTTTATTTTATACATGTACAAGTGTAAGACTTGATTTTGAGCTATTATTAAGCATTTGCATCTATAATAATAATAATAATCCTTGCATTTGATATAGCGCTTTTCAAGTCGGGAGGACGTCCCAAAGCGCTTCACAGAATACACTGTAAAGTGAATTGACTATATAAAGTGTGTGGCCTGCGAAGCTTACCAAAACTCGTGAAGTGGTCCACCAGCCACTATGAGCTCAAAGCCCAGCATGGATTTGAATCCACAACCTTCTGACTCAGAGGTGAGAATGCTACCAATTGACACCTGCAATAAAAATGAAGCACTCCCTAACTTTAAACCACTTGTGATCTTCCTGCAGTTGGTTACCACAGATGTAAATAGATTTTGTTTGAATAGCACTTTTTTCATGATTTTTTGCTGCAACTTCTGAAACTTGCTGCTCTATTTCTGTACTTCCTTGTGTCTAGTACTGAATCCACTGTCCAAGTCAACATCAAACAGATGTACTAATTGACAGACATGTGGCCATGATACAGTCATCATAAACCTGCATCAAGTGTCAATCTTGGAAAAGTCTGAGCTTCAAGGCACGGCAATGAAAAAATGTGACAAAGTTGGTGAAAATTGGGATCAAAACCCTGGTTCTTTTAACAAATAATAAATTACACATTTGTTCATTATTTCATTTTTGTGGAACTTTTTATAAAGATTGTTGCTAAAGAAATATATTGGTTTTGCTTGTATTCATAGAATCCCAAATGTGAAATTGTTCTGATTACATCAAAGAAAAATGAGAAACATAACAATGTTGAATACAGATTTATTCCACCCTGAAGGCACATAGACTGATCAGTAGGATCTTAACACAGCCAAGATCTTCTTCCTAACTGATGCTTTTTTAAAAATATGATAAAAGTTGTTTCTTTTTTTCTTGATTGCTAAGTTCATAGAGCCACTGAGCAGTGTTTATCTGAATCATACAGATTAGATTGGTAAAGTCCCACATTCAAGTCCCCAGTATGTGCTGAGTTAGTTAATCTAGGTCAAAACCACATTTCACAAGATCACAAGTTTAGTTTGGATAAAGAAGGCCCTTTGGCCTATCTGATGTTATCCTTCCTGAATACCACACAACTATCCTCCCATCACAGCATCAAGCAGCTTCTTAAATGAGTCTAGGATCCTGACAAACTGTTCCAGTCGTTAATTATCATCTGGATAAAGAAAATGTCCTGGTATCTGACATGAAACTGCTCTTTGCAGCCCTAAAGCTATGATCACTTGTTTCATTACCCTGGTGTATCCTAAAGTACTTTTTCAGTGCCATGTATAATGTTATACACTCTATCAGGTCCCCTCTGAGTCATTTTCTCTCAAGACTGAAGATTACTAGCCTGTCTAATCAGTGCTCGTAGCTGATCCTCTAAAACTGGAGATCATCCTCAGTATTATTATTATTATTACTCTCTTCTGCACTGCATCTTGAACCTGGCAGTCCCCTTATGTGATCATGACTGGAACTCTATACTGTACTCTGGGTGTGGCCTGACCAGAGCACTATACAGCCTAAGACTGAGGGTATAAAATGTTTTAAAAAGTTACTGATATTGTAATTCAGCACTGCAAAGTTTGTGACCCGTTTCACTACTGCATCTTCTAAACAATACTTGTTTCCGTATTACACCAATACCAAATATGCAGTAATGTTTCAAGATGAATAATGCCTAATAGAATAAAGGAACTGTTATGCAGCCAAAGGGAACTGTTATGCAGCCAAATAACTCACAGTATTAAATGTAAAAAAAAAGTTTTAAAAATCCTACGATGGTGCTCAAAAAACAACAAAATTACATTTATACGCCTTGGAGGACGTCCCAAGGTGCTGGGCAGTTAAGGGTTTACACCCAAGCTGGGGGTTGGAATCAAGAGGTGTGGAGGGTAGGGAAGGTGGCCAAAAGCACGATCAAAAAGGTAAGGCTTGAGACGTGCCTTGAATGAAGAAAGGGAGGGGGAGAGGCGGAGATACGCCAGGATAGAGTTCCAGCGGTTGGGGGCAGAAAAGCTGTCAGCCCGTCGACCAATGATGAAGCCAGCATCCTAGTGCTGATCGAGTGGAGGGAGGCAGACAGGTTGATATGGTGTTAATAGATTGCAGAGGATCAAGGCCATGGAAGTCTTTAAAAGTGTGGATGAGGATTTTAAACTCAATCTGAGAGATGGGGAGCCAGTGGAGCCCGGCGAGGATGAGAGTGATTAGTTCATGGAGCTAGGTATGAGAGAGTACACGAGCTGCAGAGTTCTGAATAACCTGCAGCTTGTGGAGGGAAAAGTTGGGATGTCTGAAGAGCAGAGAGTTAGCCTGGACATAATGAATGCATGAATGAGGGTCTCGGTGGGCTGAAGAGAGAGGCGGTAGCAGAGATGGGTAAGATTGCAGAGGTGAGGGGAAAGCAGAACGGGTCATGGCATGAATGCGCAGCTTCAAGTTGATAGTTGAGCGTTGAACAGGACACCAAGGTTGGGTCTGTGAGGTGCCGTGTGCATTCGTGAATGGTGATGCCATCAGTGCTTGAACTCAACATTTTCACAACAAACTTTGTTGTATTTAAAGTTTACTGAACAAGATTACATTTGTCTTTTTTGTTTTTGAGTCCTAATGACCAGGACCTTAATAGCTAGAAGTTACATTGTAGTAGAAATTAATATCTGTAAAACAAAATTATATACAGATATTTCTTGTTCTTTTGCTGTTGTCTTAAGGAGTAAAAATGTGAATACAATATCTGAACATGGTGCAAATTAAGTACATTGTTTGCCTAAATAAATATCACTGCAACTCAAAGTAATTCCTTATGCAAAACACTTTGAGAAAGTTTTCCTTAATAAGGAGCTCAATGAAATATAAACATCATTGCTCTTCAGAATATTGCGTATCGCATTCAACATACAGAGTTTAGTCTTTAAATGTCTTCAGAAATCACTGCCTGAAAACATTTGACAATGATTGGCTCCAAATAGCTGTAGCATCTCACTTTCGACAACAGCTCCAAAAAACAGCTTTTATCATCTGTTTGTGGTAATATGCTACTGACATTGATATCACATGTTTAATAGTCATAGCAAATTCAGAAAGGATTTTTTAACAGTATCAGTAATGCAGGACAGGAATGCAAAATGTGGCATGTGGAAATATCACTGGATAAGATTGTCACATCAACCAAAAATGCAGTCAAATGCAGTTAATAGCTGCCACTAGTCTAAGGTGGGCAGCGGCAGGGAGAGTGGATATCCATAACCCATGCCAAAGACCATAATTTTGGTTGATATAATATCATTGGTGATATCATTTGGCATATTCTGCCACCCACCACATCAAGTCAGCCATAGGAAAGAAGCATTAGGATATCAGCACTTCTCATCACACAAATCTACTACTATCTGGTACCACATCAATTAGTCATAAGTGTACAACTCCTTTCTTTTGACAAAACAAAAATAGATAAATCAATTGAGTTACTCAAATGATAATAATTGCTGTAATGATAATGAGTAAAACAAACTATATAGGTATAAACTATTGAAACAAATGCATTGTAAAATATTTAGCATTTCACTTATAAGCCACTGTTACAATATTAGGTCCTATTCTAACATAACCTCACAAGAAGAATGATGAATTCAAAATTCTCTCTGGGTGTCAGTGTTCTGAATATTTTTGTTAAAACTTTTACATCTATGCATTTTAACGGACAACTTAAGATTTAGGAGCACATATATGAACATAATTACCTATGACCTAGGCCAACAGAAAATTCCCCGATTTTCCCAAGCAATCCACTACAGACAACCCCTCTGCTACAGACAACCTCTTCCGCTACAAACCCCGCCCCCACCGGTACCAACAACCCCCTCCGCTCCTAACACCCCCCCCGCTACTAACACCCACCCCACTACTAATACCCCCACCCCGCTCCTAACATCCACCTCCGCTCCTAACACCCCACTTCACTCCTAACACCCCACTTCGCTCCTAACACCCCCCTCCGCTCCTAACACCCCACCCCGCTACTAATACCCCCTCTGCTACTAACACCCACTCCTAACACCCACCCCACTACTAATACCCCCACCCCGCTCCTAACACCCACCTCCGCTCCTAGCACCCCATTTCGCTCCTAACACCCCCCTCCACTCCTAACACCCCCCCCCCACCCCCGCTCCTAACACCTCCCTTCGCTATTAATATGTACAGTTGTTTACTCAACATCACTATGTGGGCAGGGCAGCTCCAAAGGCGCATGCACGGTGCAGTGCGAGCGGGAAACGGACTTTGCTCACCTCGAGGCCCTGCTGTTGAGAATGTCTGTGTCACTCTCCCATCTGTATGTGTGTGTGGGTGTCTATGAGCATGTGTCTCTCTGTGTCTGTGAGTGGCTATGAGCATGTGTCTGTGTATCTGTGCATGTCTGCAAGTGAGTCTGTTTCTGTGAGTGAGTGTGTGCCTCTAGTGAGTGCGTGTGTGAGTGAGTGCGCATCTGTGAGTGAGTGCGCATGTCTGCGAGTGAGTTCATATGTCTGCGAGTGAGTGCGCATGTCTTCAAGTGAGTGCGCATGTCTGAGAGTGAGTGTGCATCTGCAAGTGAGTGTCTCTCTGTGAGTCTCTCTGTGCCTGAGTGTGTCTCTCTGTGTGTCTATGAGTGTGTGTCTCTGTTTCTGTGAGTGTCGCTCTGTGTACCCGTTTCTCACTCTCTGTAAGAAAGTATTAANTTTTTTTGCAACAATCTAATATGTGTTATTTCTTCATGTTTAGTTTTCATCAATAAAGTGAAAAAAATGTGGGTTGGCAGTAAAATGTACCACAATAGAACCAATTGACCCAAGCAATTTTCCGCAAATTTTATCAAATTTTGCCATAATTTTTGACAAATATTTTCACAATTTTCTATTGATCCTGCCTATAACTTTGAAAAACAATAGGGATCAGGATGAGGTAGAAACAAAATCTAAACACAGTCTCTATGAACTCTAATGAGTGTTTCTGCTCAAAAAATATATTTTAAATAAAACTTTCCAGAAGAAAGCAATCTATCTTTCCAACAAGACAAGTTACTGTATTTTCAAACTATAGAAAGAACTGGGAAGGGGGGAAAAAAATCATTGCAAACTTACAATCCAGATGGCAAGATGTTCACAGACATGTCAAATGCAAGTTTCAGGGCTTCCACAAGTAGGAAATCAAAGAATGCGGACAGCACCCAAGAACCTAGTAGGAAAGACTTCGAGAGATGAAACAAAATATTAAATGCAATAAAATGACAATTGAAACAGCTGAAAACTCAAAATTGATTAGTATGAATAACATAGTCGTTATCACTTATGATAATAATAATAATAATAATAATCCTTGCATTTGATATAGCGCTTTTCACGTCGGGAGGACATCCCAAAGCGCTTCACAAAACACACTGTAAAGTGAATTGACTGTATATTTGTGGGCGAACGCGGCAGCCAATTGCGCACAGCAATGTCCCACAAACAGTCATATGGATTGAAAATGACCAATTTATTATTGTTTTGTTTTTTTGGAGGGATTATTATTAGGTGTGTGGAGTAAGGAAACTTGCCCAAGGTTTTGCCCTGCCTGGAATTGAACTCAGGTCTCTCGCTTGCAAAGCGAGTGCTCTAACCACTGAGCCACAGGACTCCACAATGATGATCATAGTTATAGTTATTTTTCATATTTGTGTACTTATGATGCAACACACCATTCTCTTTACAATGGGCAGTGAATGGGAAACGATTTGCATGTTCGAAGAAATGAAAGTGCAAATAAACCAAATGCAGACTCGGGAGGAAGTACATTTTGTTGTCAGTAACTGTCCTGAATACAGTAATACTTCAAACAGCTGTGAGTTATCAGATTTGTCCACTGGTCAGCATTTTCTTCTTGTTCTCTCTTTGGCAGTAACTCTTAAGACACTGCTTGCACTTCATGGTTTAAAAAACGAGGGGTCTCTACAGGTAATTATCATAAGCAGGCACCCGAGCTTCTTTTTTTACTCTCTAGTTTAAAGGTAATGGAAGCCAATTACGCATTAGCAAACATCACCAAATTCAGCATTAACCCTGCCACTTCCTGTGTAGTAGCTCAGTACTACCGTCAGGCAGTATCTTTTCCCACTAGGCTAGCATCAGAGCCCAGATTAAACATATGGAATAAGAGGAGCAGCAGGTAACTCTAACTGTTTCTGAGATCTTTAAAATAAGATTAAAGAGATCAACTGCTGATACTTACTGCAAATTTCTGACTGCCATATCGTCTTTCAAAAATTCTAAAATTGTAAATAAGAAGGCAACTGCAGAATACATCTTTCAGATCCAGGCAAATAATCCTCGCAGATATCAGTCTCCATATCTGAAATAGATTAAAAGTTAAAAGCACAAATTCAAATCAAAACATTTAAATTTTAGCTCCAGATTTTTCACTAATATATCAAATCATGCAAACACATAAATAAGATTGCTCTTTATACCTCTGTATTCATTTTGCCAGGTGACTGTAAATCATCATCTCAGCTCATACCTTTTCAATTGAGGAACCTTGCCCTTTGACTTTTTTTAAAAAAGATTACCCCATAATATTTACTGTTCTGATTTTATACTGAAAAAGCTATATAAAATAAATATCTTTGGGGAAGTCTAATAAATGTATTCTTATAATGGCACACGCATTAATAAATACAGCAAAAGCAATTGGACATTCACCTCAAATAATACTTCAGAACTATTTTGGAAAGAACATTTGACAACTCACAAGTTAAAAAAAACTGAAGGAGGTAAGAAATTCCATAATCTTGAAGTTATGGGAAAGACTGGATTGCAGATGGTGTGATGAATTAGTAGATTTAAAATGATAAGTTTGTGTCTGAAGCTCATGAGGAAATTATGAAATGTTATTTTTTGCATAATTTAATCCTCATTTTGGGATGTTGTCAATGCAAATCGTGTGCAATGACAGAAATTAATTATAAACACAATATTGCAATATGCAAAAGTTACAACCATCAAGGAATTTCCCTCAGTTGGTACTGCCTGAAGTGAAACTAAGACATATGCAACCAAAGCCAATGAAATGAAGGACAGGGAAACTTAAAAATATAATCGGCCACGAAACCCATTAGCTTCACTAACTAATATTAACATCTGGTAACTAAATCACTAAGGTTTTCTTGGCCAGCCGGGTATCTGATACATGTGGAAACCCATCCCTATACTTAAAGAGTATCTGAACCAAGCTGAGATTTCCATGCATCCCACCTGCACGTCGAAATCCCTGATTATTGGAATGGAATGCGGATTGCCTTCAGCGTGGTGGCCTCTTCAAGGAAGGCAAGGTCCTAATTCGTGTCAAGCTTGTGGCACACAAGACCTGTGTGCAAACAATCCTCCTTTATGGACCCGAGTTCCTGGGAATGTAGCAGAGAGGCTTCCTCCGACCCATTTGCAAAGTGCAGGAGCAAGCAGTAAGGTGGATTTGTGGCGAACACGGGAAGTGGCTGCAGGGAGGGAAAGCTCCAACCTACACTGACTTGTTGCTAAGCACCGTGGGTGGAGGTGGCTTCACAGCGGACACGTCTATTTGCCAAGGCCCCTCACAAGAGGATCTAAAGAAAAGCCTTGTAATATTACTTTGGAAATCATCAGCCATCGTTATGAATTATTTCTAGCTTTCCACAAGAATGGGATCCCAGTTCAGGAAAAAGGCCACTATGAAGAAATAGTCTCACTGGAACCACTCTGTATTGTGCCTCTTTGAAATCTCATTTTCATCAATTTAATTTTACTTATCCAGCATGTGGCATGAAAGAATAAAGAGCTGCAGAATGGAATCAATATCCCATTTGTAGTGCTGGTAATTCACAAGTGAAGCCATGTGTGAATTACTAGGTTAGCAATTAACATGATATAAAATACACAATCCAAAGCTCCTTATAATGTATCCTCCAAGTATCTATTGCACCATCTGGCTTTGAGTCAAATGTCACAATCAACTGCTATGTCATTTGTTCTAAATCACACTGGATGAACCTCACAACTCTATTCGATATGCTTGATTAGTTAAATAAATTGTTCAGCAAAGTTCTTATAAATAAAAATTATGTGAAAATGAATTAAAAACTGCAATCTAATTTCAAATAAACAAAAGCTCATATATTCTTGTGTCAAGTAAAGGCAACTGGATCAGCATCTGAGAAATAAACCATTAAGGGAAAAGAGGAAAGAGCTGGAAAGTAGGATTAATAAAAAGGAACATCTTAAAAACAAACAGATGAGCAATGGCACAGAAACAATGGGCTGATTGATTACCTTCTGCGCTGAGAAATTCCAAGTTAACTCTTCCATCGGAGTAGAGCCTTGTAACTCCCTCTCACAAATATCTATGCATTGTTTCCCATTGTTTTTATCTATTAATTGATACACTTATGCTAGAAAATAATGCTAAAGCTGTCATACTGCCTGGATCAATCAGTACAAAATTGGAATGCTGGATATACCAGATCTTACTTATGTATCCAGAATTATGAACTCATTTTAATGTTATGCCTTGAGTTTCATGATTTAAGTCAAGTCAAATCACATCACATAGTACTTTTCCAAATCATTACTTCAGGATAATCAATGACTAAATGTAGCCATTAATCTTATTAAAAGGTAATATAATCATCATAGTCATACTAATACAAAGGTTAAAGGCAGCAAATAAAACCCAGCATATGTACTGCATCAGTTGGAAATGAAACATACCTCAAGATCTTGTTTTATTGCTTGTAGATTATATATGAAGTATATCTGATAATGTTGAAACGGCACGGCTAAAATAAAGGCCAAAGTACTCAGGACGATCAAAAGGCTCTTAGAAAGAGGGGCTTTATCTTAAAAATATAAAAAGATTTAACACAATAACAATTAAAATGAAAGAACTATTTTATTGATCCTGTTTTCCATTTTTCAGATTGAGAGAATTAAACAAATATACACCAAACTGAGATTGAAACCGACACCATTTATTTTTATCAATCCCTTCAGAATATATAGTCATTACAATTTAAAGTAAATCCTAAATGCACTTTTAGATGTCTTCCTAACATGAAAGATGCCGCTGTATATCAAATGCAAGAATTACTATTTTATCATCATCAATTTACATACATTAGTGCGATCTGTGCATTATCTGCTCCTTTTGGTTTTCTTTCTCCCCCCACCCCCACCCCGGCTAAACAAAACTAAGATCATCAATGAGCCTCCAGAAAAACAAGGCCATAAAGCACAAAGATTCATAGTTCATAACAACTGTAATTGACTTGACAACACAGATCATGGTTTAACAATGTTTAAAAAGCATACCTTAAGAAAAATTACAAAGAATATACAGCACAGAAACAGCCCACTCAGCCCAACCAATCCGTGTTTTTACTCCACATGAACCACAACCCATTTCTTTCTCCTTCCCATACCCTCTATTCCGCACTCCCTCATGTGAAGAAAAACATTTGTTAAGAAAATGCTGTACAAATGAACAAAAGCCAAGAGCAAATATGTTCTCTTCATTTACAAGGCTAAAATATAACTAAATAAGATCCAAAAATCCTTACATATAAAAACTGAAATGAAAACTGTAGTAGTAAATTCACAAATATATGTATAATAATAATCCTTGTATTTGATACAGCGCCTTATCACATATTTGAGACGTCTCAAGGCGCTTCACAGAATACACTGTAAAGTGATTGACTGTATATTTTGTGGGAGAAACGTGGCAGCCAATTGTGCATAGCAGTGTCCCACAAAAAGTCGTGGATTGAGTGACCAATTTATTATTATTATTTTTTTGAGGAATTATTACCTCCGGAAAAGCGATCCGCCTATCAACTAACAACCAATCTCCGATTTACTGCTGGGGAAACAGAGGCAGGTGGAGTGAGGAAGCTTGCCCATTGTTTCCAGCTGCCGGGAATTGAACCCAGGTCTCTCACATGCGAGGTGGGTGCTGTAACTACTGAGCTACAGAACTCCACATATATTAGCACCTCACTTTTTTCACACACAGTATATAAATCTCCAGGCCAGACTTTTATTTTAGATGTGTCCCGGCCAAATCAAATGTTAAACAACAAAAATATGTTCACTTTAGATTAAATAGATTGAGGCTATCAATTTATGCCTACTCAAACATCAATGTAATGTCCTGAGCAACATGTATTGCATGGAAATTATTATAACAATTGTTATGTTTGATAAACCACCTTACCACATTGTTAAAGGTCTCTAAGCATTTCACAAGATTTACTGTAAAGTGGAAAATGTTGCAACCAATTTGCACACAATAATTTCCCACGAACAGTCATGAAGGGAATGTTCAGTTCTGTCTTGGGGATTGGTGGCATAGGCTCAATGGACTGAATGGCCTTTGCATGTTCCTGTTTTCCTATGTTTCTGAGTAGACCTGTTTTTGAGAAATGATAAATATTAACCCTTGCATTTGATACAGTGCCTTATCATGTTGTAGAGATGATTCAAAGTGCTTCACAGGTATACAATAAAGTGGACTGACTGTATTTTATGGGCAAAATGCGACAGCCAGTTGCACACAACAATGTCCCGCAAACAGCCGTGGAGTGAATGACCAATTTTATGTGAGGGATTGTTGGCCAGGACACCTTGAGAAAACTCCTTTTCTTTTCATATACTGCCATGGGATCTTTAACATCCACCTGAACAGCCAGATGAAACTTGATGAGTAATCAAGATAGAAGCAGGTTAACCTTTGTAAAAATAACTGCAACTACAGTAATTTCAGAAGTTAACCAATTATCCATAAGAAAATAGTCAGCAAAATCCAGCATATATCATTTTGCATTTTATATAACTGTGTAAGAACCCCTCAGTTTATAGGACACTGTTTGTGGGACACTTCTGTGCGCAATTTGGCTGCCGCATTTTGCCCACAAATATACAGTCAATTCACTTTACAGTATATTCTGTGAAGCCCTTTGAGACGTCTAGAAGCCGTGAAAGGCGCTATATCAAATGCAAGGATTATTATTAGCATTATTATTATTATTATTATTCAAAGGGCAGCTCCTCCAACAATGCTACAAATTTCCAGCACTGCATTGGAGTGTCAGCTCAGACTGTGCAATTCCAAGTTCTGACATAGGGCTTTAACCCACAACCTTCTGACTCATAGGTGTGTGTGCCACCATTGAGCCAGGCTGACACTTGCCACTATTTTAAAAAAATGTTGGATTGTGCACATTTTCAGGTACTTGGGTGGTATAGTATTTAGCACTGAAGTATAATTACTTATTTTGCTGTTACATGTTAATTACAAGAATCCATGTTGCCTTGCCGTAATTTCTTCTGACCCACCTGATAACATTTTGGATATTTTAATGAAACCTTTTAAAGGTATTTTGTTTATTTCATATTCCACAAGAACCGTATTTTATCCCACTTTTATAAATCTAGCTATATAATTCATTTTAAAATGATATAGTGAATATCAATAAGACTAAAACAACTATACTGAACACTATATTTGATAAAGAGCAAACGACGTTTCACTTTCAAATATCATCAAATGCTTAGTGAAAAATTAAAGAGGAAGTCTGAATAAAACGTTCAAAGATAAAATGGAATTGCAGGAAAAAACATTAAACCCACATTGCAGGTTTTTTTCCAACAAATGTTGATGTTTTTTACTCAAGCTTGAAATGTTCAATTATTATTTGAGCTTGATGTTAGCTGGTCACTAATTCCATGTGGTTTGTACACATAGTTAAGACACTTTGTGCAGATAACCCTTCTGTGGGCTGACTTTCCGCAGTTGTGACTGTGTAGTGATGCACTCACCCACAGAGGAAACATTGCAACTGCAAACAACAACCTACATTCAAAATATTTCTGTAAATGTGCTTAATATTCTCAGCAGCTTTATTGGAAAGTGAGGCCATCCGATTTTCCTAACTATAATGAATTGTATTAAATGATTACAAAATACAGCTTTACTACCCTGACAAAATATGGTATATTCATGTCAAGGATAATCTAAAATTAGACAACTGTACATCTATTTTTCTTCTCCCTCTTGACTAGCCACTATCAATGTCACATTATAACCGAGCATGCAGCACAAGCTAGGTAATGGTGCTTACGTAGTGTCACAGAATTATGCTATTAATAAATGGGATTTTAAAAGACAAGCACTTTGGAACCAACCCTATTTTAAGGTTTTTTGCATCCCTTCAACAGACCATTCCTCAACAAAATGCAGAAACCTAGGCTTATGTTCTTTGGAAAAGACATGACAAATAATAATTCTTACATTTTGATAAGCAGAAACTCCTGACTACTCAACCCTACCCTAACTTGTTACTACCACTTAAATCATCATGCTGTCAATCCCATCTGCATCTATTTACGTGTTTATATATATGCTTAACTCAACACTCTGGATAACTTGTCACTGAACCCCTTTCCTTTGGAGTGACGAACTATCAGGAATTTACTGTTACGGGTACGTCACATTAGGTCTCCAAAGACTTCACAGGATGTACTGCGGTGTAGGGACTTTTTTGTGTATTTATATTACAGCAATTTTCCAGTGAAATGTGTAATACTGTATAGCAATACTGTAAAGTTTCAGACAGCAAGAAATGTGCTGGAACTCTGCTCCTCACCCGCCTGTTGGGGGAGTTTCAGGACCAATACAATTTTTACCTAAAGTCTACAACAACTTTTTATAGCAGCCTTCGTGCGGGCTCCATCTCGGAGCTCTTAACATTGGGAGAGCTTGAATCTGAGGAGGTGACTGTAAACATGAAGAGGAAAGTCTTCAGTTGTGGTCTAAAAGAGGGCAAGGAGGGGGCAATGTGGAGGGATTGAGGGAGAGTTCAAAGCTTTAGGGCATAGTGGCTGAAAGCACGGTCGCCAATGGTGGAGCGGAGTGGTTGAGGAAAGAACAGGAGGGCAGAGCCGAGGCAGCGCGGAGGCAGCAAGTAGTGGAGTGGGGAGAAAGCAGGTCAGAAAGATAGGAAGGTGCTAGGGTGTGATGGAAGTTGTTGTAGGCGAGTGAGAGGGTGTTGAAATCGATCCGTTCTGTAATAGGGAGCCAGTGGAGCCTGACGAGGACTGGTGTGATGGAGGTAAGGAAATTATTGTGGGTGAGTATGCGGCGGCGGAGTTCTGAATGAGTGGAGTTTGTGGCAGTCGGTAGTCTAATTTAGTGTATGTCAACTCATTGTGTGCTGCTCTGTTCCTCCATCAAAACTCTAAAAATGTCCGCTGGATAGCCAGGAAACTCTGAGCTAAGTATTATTATTTGTTATTATTATTAATTGAAGAGCCAATCCCACAACAGATTCATCAATTACATTAAATATAATATAATTTTATAAAATATTAACATTTGGTGTTCTGTGCGTGTGCAGCAGCATAGAAGCTTTCAGCTCCACCTCACTGCACCTCCAGGTGTGAATCCATCCATGTGTACATCCATGGCTTTGCCCCCTCCTACCTCTCTGACCTGCTGACTCCCTACCAACCTGCCCACTCCCTCCGTTCATCGGGCTCCGGGCTGCTACATGTCTCCCGCCCGACCCGCCCGACCATCGGTGGCCGAGCTTTCAGCCTCTCTGCCCCCACACTCTGGAACTCCATCCCACGGTCCCTTCGCCTCACTTCCTCCCTTGCATCCTTCAAGGCCGGTCTCAAGACCCTTCTCTTCGACCGTACCTTTGATCTCCCTCCCACCTCTCTGCCTTCCCTCACCCCTACCCCACCCCTCCCCCGTGCTCGGGCCCCGACATCTGACTGTTCAGCGTTTTGGGACGTCCTCCTGACGCGAAAAGCGCTTTATAAATTTAATTTTGTT